AGCTTTATAGTATAATTTCAAGTCAGGAATGGTAATGCCTCCTGCCTTGTCTTTGTTGCCCAGGATTGCATTTGCTATTCTAAGTCTTTTCTGATTCCAAATAAACTTTAGGAATGATTTCTCTAGGTCTGCGAGGTATGTTGGTGGTAGTTTGATATGGATTGCATTAAATCTGTACAGCAATTTTGGGAGTATGACCATCTTCACAATGTTGCTTCTTGCTATACAGGAACAGGGAATATGTTTCCATTTTCTGAAATCCTCTACAATGTCTTTTTTCAGTGTACTATAATTTTCATTGAATAGATCTTTGACTTCTTTAGTTAGATGAATTCCATGGTATTTCATTTTCCTCCATGCTATTATAAAAGGTATTGTTTCTCTAATTTCCCTCTCAGTGTATTTGTTACCTGTGTAGAGAAATGCTATTGACTTTTGGGTATTGACTTTGTATCCCTGCTATGCTACTGAATTTCTGTATTAATTCTAGTAGATTTTTAGTGGAGTTTTTGGGTCTTCCAAGTAAAGTATCAAGTCATCTGCAAATAATGATAGTTTAACTACTTCACCTATTCTTACTTTTTTTTCTCTCTCTTATCTAATGCCTCTAGCTAATGATTTCAGAACTATATTCAGTAGGGGTGGTGATAGAGGACATCCTTGTCTTGTACCAGATGTGAGAGTCAAAGATTTCAGTTTTTTCTATTTAGAATTATGTTGGCCATTAGGTTGTCATAGATGGCTTTTAAGAGATTGAAGTAGAGGCCATCTATTCCAATTTTTTTTAGGACTTTGAACATGAGTGAGTGTTGGACTTTGTCAGAAGCCTTTTCTGGTTCAGTTGAGATGATAATGTGGTATTTAGATTTGGCTCTATTGATGTAGGGTATTACATTTATAGATTTGCATATATTGAGCCATCCTTGCATTCTTGGGATGAATCATTCCTGGTCATGGTGTATAATCTTTTTGATGATTTACTGTATTCTATTTGATATCAGTTTATTGAGGATTTTTGCATCTATGTTCATGAGGAAGATTGGCCTCTAGTTCTCTTTTTTAGTTGCATCTTTCCTTGGCTTTGGTATCAGTTTAATACTTGTCTCCAGGAATGATTTGGGGAGGTTTGCTTCCTTTTCAATTTCATTGAAGAGTTTGAGGAGTATAGGGATTATGTCTTCTGTAAATTTCTTGTAGAATTCATCTGTTTTTATTTACCTATTGTTGTTTATTCCTTTTTCTGCTGTGTTTTATTCTTTGCCCTATTTAAGGGGTTCATTCTGTTCTAGTTTATGGAGTTCTGATCATTTTGGTCCCTCTCTAGAACATCTTTTAGTAGTCTATGTAGGATTCACTTTGTTGTTGTGAAATTCTTTAGTTGTTCTTTGTCATGAAAGTATTTCACTTCTCTATCAAACTTGAAAGAGAGTTTTGCAGGGTATAGTAGGCTGGGCTGGAATTTGTTTTCATAGAGGACTTGAAGTACTGTTCTCCATGCTCTTCTTGCCTTCATGGTTTGTGAAGAGAAGTCAGCTGTAATTCTGATGGTTTTGCCTTTAAATGCTATCTTTTTCTTTTCTCTAGTGGCTTTCAGTATATTGTTCTTGTGCTGGATTTCTGGCATCTTGACTATTATATGTCTCGGTGTGTTTTTAATTGGGTTGATGTTCTTTGGAGTTCTACATGCTTCAGTTTCCTGAATGTCAGTTTGTTTCCCCATATTTGGGATGTTTTCTGCTATTACTTCTGCTCATATTCTTTTTGTATCATTTATATTGATTCCTTCTTTCTCATTGATGCCTATTAGTCTTATCTTGTTCGTATTTGCATCATCTTTCAGGTGATGAATTATTTTTTCCTGCATCCTGGTTGTTTTTAAGAGATCTTTTCTTATGTTTTCATTAGCTGTGACGGCGTCTTCACATCTGAAACTCTGTCTTTCACTCAAACAGTTTTGCAAGTTTGTGATTGAGATTTTAAGTTCCTTTGTATCTCTTTTGACTCTGCTTCATGCGATCTATTTTCTATATGTTCATTCAGGAAGTCCATCTTTTTTTAATCTCTATTTTTTATCAGTATCTTCTTGAGAAGTAGTTATTAATTCTTTCATTACAGCTATCCTTTTTTATTTCAGAGATTATTTCTGATCTTATTTCATCTATATGATTCTCTACTTGATTCTTTACTTCTGAAAGTATTAATTCAGAGATTTCTTTTTTATTTCAGAGGTTATTCCTGATCCATGTCCTCTGTACCTTTCTGTAGTTGTTTCTTTCCTTCAGTCGCTATTAATTCAGGCATTTCAGTTGTGTGTTTCCCAATTTCTTCTGTGGTAGTATTTTTTGCGTTTGTTCTTGGTGGGCTTGGGCTCTGAGATTGCATTTTGCTCCTTCTCTTTGTCATTTTGTGTAGTACTATCCTCTGACCTTTGGTGCAGTTATAAACTTAGCACCTTGTGTAATTCTGGTGCAGATCTACGAAGTTTGAATTGATCCAGTTGTGCCTGTCTTGGGTCTGGCTGCTGTGCTCTGCTTCTTCCTGCTGCAGCCCTTGGAAGTGAACCTGTTGTTCCCTCTGGCAAGATGTTGTACTTCTGTATTAGCTGGGTGGCTCTGGCCCCTATCCTCTCTGCAGGACTTCTGTTGCAGAGTTTTACCCCAAGACTGTATGCAAGGCCTTAGCTGGGTCTGGAGGGGTCCAGAGAGCAGGACAGAAGGAGTCACTCACAAATGGGTCTGGGCTGGGTCCTGAGGGATCCAATGGGTGCTGGGAAGTGTGGAAGCTCTCCCATACACTCACGGGGCCTGGGCTTGAGCTGTGTCTGGTAGGTCCCAAGAGTGAGGCGGAAGTTCTCATTACAAGCTGGGCTTTCGCTGGGTCTGGAGGGGTCCAGCAGATGCAGGGGATCACAGAAGCTCTCCCACACACTTGTGGGGCCTGGGCTTGGGCTGGGTCTGGAGGGGTCCTGAGAATGGGGTGGAAGTTCTTACTCACACATGTATATATTCATTTTCAGATTAACCATAAAACTGTGTATCTTTAAAAAAAAACTGTAAATAAACTGCGCAGTATTTTATTTTATTTTTGGAACCAGGAATCAAACTCAGGCTTGCTGCAGAGCTATAATCCTGGCCCTCAATAATATTTTATGGAAGGAAAGTTTTGTTTTTTGTTTTTTTTTTCCTTTTATTTTGCAGTACCAGGGATTGAACTCAGGACCCTGTGCTTGCCAGGGAAGCACTTACTCTACTGAGGTATCTCTCCCGCCCCGCTAGATGATATTTTATGCAGTGGGTGTTCTTCCAATTCTGGTTTTAATAAGTAACAACAGTATGTAACCCATATACTAACAGAAGATGTCTTGGGTATTTTAGAATATTTTTCTTAGGATATTTATTTTCTTTACTTATTTTTAATGTATTTAGTACAGGGTCTACATACAGGATCTCACTACACAGGTCAGACTTGATGATCCTCCTGTTTTCAGCCTCCCAAGTGCTGCCATTACAGACGTGCACCACCATTCCCAGTCTTAATCACCATCTCAGTGTGCCCTGGGGGCGGGGCTGGCACTGCAGGCCTGAGATCGAATCCTGGCCACTGTGCTCTGCATAAACAGGTGCTTTAGTCAGCTGAGCTACTTGGCCACCCCTTATTCTCTTTAAATTTTGGTTTAAACTACAGTAATATTGTACTTGGAAGATCATGTTTTTTTTTTTTTTTTTTTTTTTTTAGTTAATGCTATGGCTGAGCCTACTTGCTATTTCCTTGATTTCTTGAAATATAATGTCATGATTTCTTTAACAGTATTAGGAAAGTTTCAAGCATATACAAATAGGGTAGTACCGTGAACTTCCATTTGCCCATATGTAGATGTAGTGCTTATCAACATCGGGCCTGTCTGTTTCATCTTTGTTCTCTCCAAAGCCACCTGCCCATAAGTGGATTATTCTGAAGAAAATCTAACATTGTCTCATTTTATCCATGAGTACTTTGATAGTAAGTACTTGAGACAGATTCCAAAGAAAGCCATACTAACACTAACACTGAAACATCTGAAAAGTTACTTACTTCTTAATGTTGTCAAAACATCTAATCAGTATTCAGGCTTTCCTGCTTAAGATTTTAAAAATGTGTTTGTACAAATCAAGCTTCAATTTTCTCATCCCTGTTTTTATTTACTTTTTGTCATGCTCTTTGTGTGTGTGTGTGTGTGTGTGTGTATTTTAAAGAGGTTATTATCTTTTATAATACCCCATATTCTGGATTTTGCTGATTTCATCTCTGAATATTTCTTGGAAACATTCTCATTTTCTCCACTTTCTTATAAACTTACGATAAATTTAAAAAATTGGGGTAAGATTTAAGTTACTTAACTCAGTGGCGTAAGTGCTTGCCTGGCAAGTGCAAGGTCATGAGTTTGATCCCCAATACAAAAAAAAAAAAAAAAAAAAGAAAGAAAAAGCCCATCTTCTCATTAATTTGAGATGTTATATTTACTAAATTTCCATATCAATGCCATCATTTTAAATTCTAAAGAAATAAAAACTTACTGTGTATTATGGTTTGTGTATGGTCCCCCGCCCTGAGCCTCATGCAGTCATGGGGTGGACTTGTAGAGTTTGTGATTCACTCATGATCCACTGGGATTGTGGGTGTGAGTGCTGCACCCAGCTGGGGTGGGAAGCCTGCATGCAGCATGAGGGGCAGACTTGCCTCTACTGCTACTGTTGCTTCTGCTCCTCCCATTTGTTCTCCCTCTCTGCTGCCGCCATGAAGAGCTGCTCTCTGCCTTGGAGCCAGCTAAGGATGGACTGAAACATCCACTGACTGTGAGCTAAATAAACTTTCTTTTCTTTATTTTGGGTGTTATTTTGTCCCAGCAATGAGAAAAGAGTGACAGAGACCATTTGTCAAGATCCTAATAGGTTCAGATCATGAATTCTAATTTTTTTAAGGGTGATTTTGCTTCATTATAACATTTTTTTCTCTCCTCTCAGATTTGGCAAGAAAAAAAATACAGACTTGCTGTTTATTTTTATAATCCCTGAAAATTTTAAAGGTATGTGCCTGTTGACTACAGTGTTTGTTTTTTCTTCAAATAGAATCATAAGGTCAATATTTAATACAATGTTTCTTAGATTGTATTTCAGGGCGTGGAGCCGATGTTACTTTAACTGAACCACTGACAAGAGAAAAACTTAGTATTGTGGTAAAATACTGGAAAACATATTTCTCAAACACCAGTGAGTAAAAAATAAATTTCCAAAAGCTTGAAATTTTTCATTAAAATTCCATGAAAACCATGTTTATGTGCTTTTAAATTGCTTTCCCACTTATGCCTTTTATTTGCTGAGGCTTAATTTTTAGGTACTGTAAAGAACATGTTATCTTTGTGAAGCAGGCCAGAAGAAAATAAGTCTAAATTAAAAGAAAAACATATGTTCTTTACATAATACAAAACAAATTACATCTTCAGAAGGTAAAAGTGATGTTATAGGCAGAGTTTTTGGTTTTTTGTTTAATTATCTTTTTCTTTCTTTTTTGGTAGCAGCATTGTTACTTTATTTTTTCTTTTTTGGTAGCTTAGTGACCATAATTTCTTAGTCATTAAAATGGAAATTAATCATGCTATGAATTATGCGGATGTCTGAAAGCCAGGGCAGTAACCTTAAATTATATGATATCTTATGCTTTGCAGAACACTTAACATATAAATTATCTTATTTCTGTTCAAATTAACAAGGTGGTTATCTATTATCTTTTAATAATGGGTGTCAATGTTTTAATTAGTTTGGTCTTCCTAATCTCTACCTATCATGTGTTATTGCTAGCATCTAAATATAATTGATTAAATTTGCTTTGCTTATGAAAAGACAAACTGAATTCTAAAGTTCTGAAGTTTGTGTTGGTCGGTGGCCAGTTTTGGTTGTTGTAGGTTTGCTAGGCCTGGGATACTAGTTGAGAAATCATTTAGAATTGAGTTGTGATGGAAGATGTTGATCAAGGGCTGCGTAGTTTCCTCTGTGTAATATGAACACGTTCCAGAGATCTGATGTACAACTTGGTGCCTATACTTGGTGCTCACTTGAATATGGTACTTGAAATCTGTTAAGAAGGTCCGTATCAAATGTTCTCATCCCATAAACAAAAAAGAAATATATTACAGTGGTGAGATGATGCCTGTGTTAATTAATTTGATTGTCATGATTATTTCACAGTATATATGGACATCAACCCCAGTTGTGCATCCTAAATGTAAATAATTTAGAATCCTCAAGTGCAACTCATGGAACCTGGAATAATCTCAAAAATGAAACATTATGTATTTTTCTAACAATATACCTGAATACATTTTGGGGAGATAATCATATATCATTTATCCTATAGAAGTTCATGTTAGAGCATTCAATGTACCCCACCTTTTTAAAATGCTATTGTTGCTGGGGAGATAGCATGGCGGTCTAAGTGCCTGCCTGGCATGTGCAAGGAGCTGGTTTGAATCCCAGTACTGCATGCCATGCCAGCTCTGGAACCCTGGGTGCACCTTGCCAATCACCAAAACAGGGTGTGGTGACACATATCTATATTCTCAGTGCTGGGGAGGCTGAGGCAGGAGGGTTGCTGTGAGTCCAAGCTGTGTATCGAGACTCCGTACCAAATAAAAGATTTTTTAAAATAAAAAAATACTATTTTTATTTGTTTATTTGTTTACATATGTTAATGTTAATCAACATAAAACTAAAAGGGATATTCCCCATTTTACAAAAACTTTTTTTTTTTTTTTGCGGAAGCGGGGATTGAACTCAGGCCCTTGTGCTTGCCAGGGAAGCACCTATTACACTGAGCCATCTCCCCAACCCCTACAAAAATTCTTATTAAAGGGTTTTTTTTGAACATTCAGATTAATGAGCTTGATTTGTGCCACTCTCTGGCTCCTGGACCCTGTGGTTTCAGTTCTTCCTTAGCGTGGCTATCCACGGTGGGCACCGTCCTTCCTGCAGCCTGGTCCTTGGTGGTCCTCAGCGGAGGCAGAGCAGCTGCTCCTCACCTGCCTGGCACCCTTCTATCGATCACTGCCACACCTCCTTCCAGTTATCTCATCTTTGCTCCGAGGATCAGCGTCAGTAAAGAATTTTTCCAGAAACTGTATTTTGGCAATATACCTGCTTATTGAAGATTTATGCATTAATTTTGTCTTTTGACATTTACCTATAAATAGGAACTTGATAAATAAATCCAGCTGAATGTGTTTTAAGCACACCTATTGCTAAAATACTAGAATCTGATTGAAAAGAGGGTATCTTGGAATGAATATTATTTTGTTTCTGAGCTGGGTGGTTTTATGATTCACATATTGAAGTCTATAAATTACTTTGTATTTTACTGCTTTGTGAAACCATTATTAGTGAATTTAGAATTAAAGTTGTGCTCTTTTAAAACTCAGGTAAGAAAGAAAATGCTCCAAGGCCTGAAGAACATGGATGGCCCCTACTGAATTCCTGTAGTGAACATCGAGGATATTTTTCTACTGATCTGCTCACTTGGTTAGTTTTTCTTTTGTATTTTTGTCATATATTAGCAGTTTTACTATGTATATTTCATTTAAAAATTCTGGGGAACTTATCAACTATGGAGAACTAGCTCAAGGGCTGAGAGTTATACAAAAAAAGGCCCTTTTGTGGAAGAGAGATGGGATGACTTTTCTGTTTCAGAATCCTGGATCATGAGTATAGGTTATGAAAGTTGCCACTCAGTGTAAGAAAGTACTTCATAAATTTAATTATTTATATAATGATGTGTGACTACAGGAGTGCAGGTCAACTTGTAGGAAGTTCCTTATCCCTGGGGAACTTTATCTCTGTTAATATAGACTGAATTAGCACTAAAGGGAGATAGTAGCAGTGATGTTCGAACTTCTAAAAAACAATAGAATCATTTCTTCCAATCTCACCTGCATCCATAAGATTCAGTTCTTGTAGTTTTTGTCCCTCCATTTTAAGCTGTAAAGGGAGATAATAATAAATTTCCAAGGAAGTTTTAGAGCCCAGTGCTACAAATAAAAGATGAAAGTACTGAGGCTTAGGATACAGATGGTGGTGAAGATTTTGTCAGTCACTTATGGAATTTGTAGAATGCAGCTATCTACTATTTTGAACAAGGAAGGGATCTGGCAGCCAGTCAAATATGGTTAAACCAAAGGTGAGCTCACTTAAATAGTGTATTGATAGCAACAGCTTCTGTGATTTATTTGGATTTTTAATCTGAAAAAGCTTTACTGTATCTGACAATGTTCTAGAAAAATTGTAGATCCAGAACATGTCCACTAATAGCCAGATTTTAAAATAAAAGAGTATTTACACTTTGCTGCACAAATTGGAAGAGTGTATCTTGGCCCTCTAATCCTTTATGTTTTTTCCTGTAATGTATCTTTCCTTCTGAAGAGATACAGTCCTGATCTTTCACTTATGAAAGGGTTGTGTCTAAGTAAACTCATCGTAAATTGAAAATATGTCAAAACCATATTTATTCCCTTAATGGACTGAACAGCTTAGCCTCTCTCGCATAGCTTAGACATTTTCAGAATACTTGTTTCATTTACAGTTGGTCAAAATCATCTAATAAAGCCTATGTTATAATAGGTTTTTAAAGCATTGAATATGTGATATAATTTGTTAAATACTATGCTGAAGATGGAAAATAAGTTTGCCATAATGGTATGCTTTACACTACTATAAAGAGGAAAAAAGGTTGCAAGTTGAAGCATTGTCATATGGGGACTGTCTATATAATCCCCATATAAGGATAATCATAATTGAGAGATGATTTTGGGATAATCATAATTGAGATCAGAATATTTTAATGCTGCTTGCATCTCTTATACTTTATCAGTACATTTTAGAATTGTGATCAGTCATTGAACTTATAATGTTTGTAATACTTTTTGAATATTTGAAAGAAATATTTGCACCAAATGTGTAAGGTAAAGCACTTTGTTATCCCTTTGTATGAAGCAAGACACAGAGAAACGTTGTTTGATTAGTACATTGGTGTTGATTGTTAAATATTGTCTGACAATTTTCCTCTTTAATGCATGTTATGACTTTTTTTCTGTAGCTCTGAATCTCTGAAAAATGACATTGGTTTTGAGTTTAAAATTCCATCATCAGAACTTGAGAAAAGCAAACAGATGTCTTTGTTTCATTCAAGCAAAGAGAAGCTAAGAAGGTGAGTATCATTACAATCCTCCTTTGTAGAGAGAAATTGCTTCCATGAATTTACAACTTTTTTGTAATGTTAAAAGATTAAATGAAACTAGGAAATCTGACAACTAAATAAATGTCACTCATCCAATCATTTAATAAGTATTTTTACACTAGAAGATGATTTGAGGAATGAAAAAAGAAATAAACCCGTGACTTCAGAGGAGGCTTCAAACTAATACTCTAAACGGACTTCTAGACAGACTCATAAATAGGCTGTCGAAGAGAAAATTATGTTAAATAGAAATCATGTTTTTGATAAACATGGTAGAGAACAAAGAGTAAGTACACTAGGAAAATTATGTACTGAATGAGGTTGCAGGCAAGGCTTTTTTTAAAGACAGTGATAGCTAAGTTGAGCTTTCAACTGAAAGTTGGTATTTGGCTTAAAAGTCAGGGTAGGCTTCTTTTTCAATAAGGAGGTGATAACAAATACAGAAACTGGCAGTGCCAGAGAACACAGTGAATTTATGGAGTTGCAAATATGGTTGACCATTAAAACTCTAGTGAGAAAAAATAGTAAACTGATCCAGTACCATTTCTTCCATGTGCTATTGGTCCAGTAACTGTAAAACTAGCCCAGGTACAAGGCGAACAACATACACTTAATCTCTCAGGAGGAATGTTATAGAAGTTGGGTTATCGTATTTTTGATAAGGAGTAAGGGTTGTTGGTGATGGATTTCACACCCCCAATGAGGCAGAAAACAGTAGAATCCAGATATAGATAATAGAACGCCTTTTCCACTGACAATGGAAGGGAATTAAAGCTTAGTGTGATCACAGATGGAAGTTGACAAGTCCTGTGGTACTCAGCCTCTGCTGTGTGGGCAAGATCCAAGGGAAGATGGTAGTGGGGTTTGAGGCTTAATGAAATGGGATGGTAGATGACCTGCATTGGTCCAGAAGGGCTCTCTCACATACCTGCTTAAAGTTTGCTGAGCTGGGCCATAATGAGGAAAATGTGGTGTGATGCATATTTTATTTATTTATTTATTTATTTATTTATTTATTTATTTATTTTGTGATGCATATTTTAAAAAGCTACATATTACAAAATTTTTAACATATTCTGCATAAGTCATTTTGTGCTAAAATCATGGTGGTATTAATAATTGGTTGCAATGAGATGGAATCAGGATACTCTATTATTTTCCATCTATAGGTCTAATGTTGGAAATATTTTATTATTCCTTGAAGTATTTTTTTTAAATTTTAATGGCTGAAGGAAAGTAATATCTAAGGACAACTATCTAGAAGACTAAAATCATAGGGGAAGGGGTGTTCATCCCCTGTTGCATTATTTGAAGGATTGGAACTCTGTTTCTAAAAAAAAAATTTTTTTTCCATTTTAAAAGCTTGCTTGGATATACCAGGAGATAAGAAAGCCATCTCAATTCTTTTCTTTTCTTTTCTTCTTTCTTTCCTCCTTATTCTGTTTCTTCTTCTTCTTCTTCTTCTTCTTCTTCTTCTTCTTCTTCTTCTTCTTCTGCTGCTGCTGCTGCTGCT